CCCAAAAGTGTAGACGCTGGGACCAGTTACGTGAATCTTTTGCGAGACCTAGCCCCAATTTGCTTTTTCGACAACACCAGAAGGTTAAAAAGTTTCAACTGACGAAATACATGCAACAACATTAAAACGGATGTTTGTTGAACTTCGTGAATTAAGACCCTAACGATATCAGCAGTGCATAAACCAGAGCGGTAATAATTTGGGAGACATCGACTATACGGATTCTTTTGCACTTTCGGTGTTAGTTATACGTAAACGATAACTGAAGCTATAATTATTTGAAAAGAGTATACATTTTGGTATACCCTGCATGTATATATATGATCTATCTACAGGTATTGGTCTGGAGCGCTTTTTGTCGATTTGCCAACATTGTCGTAGATGTTATAGAAACAGCACCTTCCATCGATATTGACGTGAAAAAGTATTGCAGTGAAGCTTTGGAGTATTTGACCTCAATATGCATACAGTTGCTGATCGAGTAACGTCGTTGGTTTTCTATCGACCGCCAAAGCATGCGAGGGCCTGAACTGAACATCAAAGTAAAATGGGGCATCGCTCACAGTATTAGAAAACGCACGGTCGAGACGCAGGGCTAAACGTATGGCCAATATTGCCATAGGTAGGGGGAACGCAGCTGAACCAGGTGAATAATTGTTAATTAAGATCGCAACCATTACTACGCAAGGGCGAGGGCAATGTATATATATAGAGCAGCTATTTAATATCGCAAAGCACTTCTTATATGCAGCTGATATTTTACTAAAAAAAAAAAAAAGGTAGTACGGTAACCGTTACATTACCTACGGCTTGCAAATGTGACCTATACGTAGAAATCCCAGTACCTACGAATGATGCCATACGAATGTTCTCAGTTTGATATTCAGTACTGCCTTTGCTAAGCATCGCTTCAGAGAACCGGACACCCCAGCATGAAACCAAGTTTTTCCATGCCCAGTTTCGAATCTGGACTGTCTCCAAGCTTAGCAGGTAAACACTTTACCGTTGAATCGTCATGGAGGCACATGCACATATCGTCGAAAACAATGAATTCGGAAGCGTACAGGTCATTAATTCCGAAAATCGATGTGACAGCTTATCTCGCCTCAACTCATGATGATTATGTAGCAGAAGCATTGTTACATAAAAAACAATTTCAATACAAACCAGGACCTGGGAAAGCACCATGAATGTCTGTGAATTTTTCAGCCAGTGTGTATTCGCAATTCCTCAGGAACACACTCATTGTGTCCCCCACCGTTATTGTGAAAACTTCTGTTGCATGCGGGTGTAGGAATTTTCAAGCAGCTGAGACAAGCACAAATTTGTCCTGCAAAGTAACACTGAAAGAAAGGCCGTCATCCGTCTATTTCTGCACTTGGAGCAATAGGTTTGCTGCATTAGTGTTCTGTGACAAGCAACCTGGTCAGCTTTCCGGGCTGGTCCTATTCTATTTGCACGTTGAATCTATCCTTCGACGTTTGCGGCCGGAAGTTTGTACTCCCAATGGTATTTTCATCATCGTTAATGATGCTAGCTGTCACCAAGGTAGAAGATCCTGTGGCGCTTGTGGCGAGGTAATTCAGACGCTTGTCTTCACCGCCAATGCAATTTTTTCCAAATAAGCTTTATCATCAAAGAGAGAATCATTTTTCGTCCATGGCGTGCGTAATGAAGTTGCAGTTGTTACACGCCGATCCTTGGTCTGGCTCGGTATAAATTGCACGACTTCGTGGCACGTTCCTAACATTGTCGTCGTGTACGAAAATGTGTGGTCACGTCATTTTGCTTACGCTATGAGTTCATGGATACCCCGACGCCAGCCAGCGTTCTATTGGAAACAAATAGCGGAAACACAAAGCCTTTCTTTTTCCTATGTCTAGAAGTCACCTAGAAGAGATGTCTAGAAAGCATCCCACCAGTTCTTTTCAACGTGGCTGCCTCGTCTTTCAACCACTTTCATAATAGTTAAGTCATTAGAGAGTTGCGGGTGCCTTTGTTCATCGTACGTTTACCCGAGGAGATCTCAAATTTCCCAGCATGTCGGCGAAGGGCGCAATCAGCCTGAAGCACTTTTGTTTTTCTGCAGAAGAAAAAACGCCAGCATATCAAGGATTGCTTTTGTTCGCGTATTGTCTATAAAGGCCACCTCCGAGCACAATAGAGCATGCGACCTGAATGAACTGCTCGTATATCAAGCGTATTATGTAATGTTTTTACTTGTATGATTCCTGTATAATGATGCGGTTTTTGTTACGACGCCCCCGTGGTTTTCTTGCCTTAAGTTACGTAGTATCCTGGTGTAATAATAGTTTATTTAGCAATAACTATATTACATATGTGAGTGAACCTATTAAGTCTACTCTTCTAAATGCCTTTTAATCGATTACGTTCTGCTATTTCTCTGGTAACACTATTATCCCATTACTATAGGTCTTTTGCTGTGTCTGGACGAGAAATTGTGGTATCTCGTATTTGCGCCTCTTTGTTAAAATTAAATTAATGCCGTTAAGCGAGTTCTGTACAAACCAAAAACCGATGACAGTCTACTGGTGCTATATCTGGCCTATACGGCGGATACACTAAAATTTTGACTCAGATTCTTTCAGTTTTTAGCGAGTAACTAAAGATTTATGTGGTCATGGTGGGAGACAACGCCTTATTTGTTTCCTGATTCCGGCCGTTTTTTTTTCAATGGCTTGGTATAATTTTGCTAGATGTTGACAGGACAAGTCCGGAAAAATCGTTTTGCCAGCTGGCAGCAACCCATAATGCACGATCCCTTTCCAATTTTACTAAAGACATAGCATCACCTTCTTTAGCGTCTACCTGGGCTTTCTGCCACAGATTCTGAAGCAAATTAAGATTCTCTACGCGGTATTCTTGTACGTAATCCACTGTTCATCACGCGCGACCAACCACGTTAGCAGTAGCGTTTCTATGGAGTACCTTCTAGCAACCAGCTTTCTTCGAATAATTTAGAACTGTTAGATGATGATTCCTTAGTTTTTGCCTATATCATACCTATTCCCCTATCAACTCTGTTTAACTTTTATAAAATTTCATCAACCCTTTCGTGATTGATTGACCATAGTGAGAAACATCTTTCATATAGAACTTTGATCGAAACAAATGCAACAGGACCCCGTTTAGGACGTTCCTTCGGATAGCGTATCTTGATCACTAAACGTTTTTGTGGATTTGCGCAGCATGTGCACCTTTATCACAATAACATTGTAATATATAGCTAATGTCTGCATAAACTACACTCACCTTCAAGGCGCTCGGTCGCAAGTCTGGATAAAAACATTTCAACGATTTTAGTATATCTACTACTGCCAAAGCTCAGCTTTCTAAATTCTGCTGACCCCGACGCGATCTCTATTACCTGAGATATGTGACTTCGACGCTTCGATCTAGCTAGAAAAATTACTTAGTCGACAATGCAGCCGGTGGCTCTTTTTACACTATGTAATTCGTACATTTGCAGTGATATTCGGCACCTAGAGAGATCTTTGCCGTAAACGTCAGATGTTTCCAGTCTGACATTGCGTTAAATGCCCGTTTGTGTACATCATTTGTGCGTTTCGGGATTACGTATAACGCCCCTGACGACCATGTCCAAGGGCGTACATATCATATATTGTTATGTCCCAAGCAAACCATTTATTTCGATGCTTGTTACGAAGTTGGTCGGGTCCCAGAGCAACCCGAAACTCGATTATGTCTCAGAAGCCTTGGCCTAAAACATCATTAACTGCATCATATCGACCTTGCATTGACCTGGCAAGTTTGCTACAGATTAGTTAATGTCCTGGGTCATTTATAGTGGCATTGTATACAGAGTTCTGCCGCGAAAAAATTACCATTGACAGAAAAGTTCTTCGTTAAGGCGAAAAACCTTATTCCCTCGTACTCAGAAAGAACCTATTCAACATAAAAATGTCAATCTCAAAATTACATTTCAGTAAAAAGGTTTTCATAAGTAGCCTCGAAAACTATTTCGTCCTACACCAACAGTTCGATGAACTGTTCGTTTGACGTACGGATCAGCCGGTGGTTTTTTGAAAGTTAATTGGCATCCGTTTGGTTTAAAGTAGTCCTTTGCGCAGGGTTGGAAGGTCAGCGTGTATGGGTTAGAATTGTTAGCAAGGTATGAACGTATCTACACAGGGACCCATGCCAGCGCCTAAGACCACAGCGAAAACTCGCTTACGTCTACTGACACAACTATTTTTACGCAAGAGCATCCGGATTCCGTTGTGGGTATCCAGTACTGAGCAGCCTCTACCCTCTGCAGTTTAAAAAGAGAAGTTGTAACTTATTCATTCTGACCTTTTGCTACAACCGAATTGGCCAAATTGCAACTGCGCTAAAATTTTTCTCCGACTGAACGAAACAATTACGAAAATACAATCACTACTTGTACTATTTATTCTTGCATGTATGAGAATGAAGATTGTGGTGAAAAGCATACGACAACTATCCAAGGTCTTTTTTACGGCCTCCTTTTTTCTTCGAACTTCCTGCACCTAAAGCTGTCCCTAAAAGTCCGATAAGGATCAATGAGTACATACTACACTCGAGTGATGCGTGCAATTTGGCTAACAATTGCGAGTCAGCTGTGTTGATAGTTTGTGAGGACAGCTATTAATCAAGAAATTATCACCCAATTACGATTATTCTTAGAAATATGTAGGAAGGAGCCTTTTATCTCGCCTGCCCTGCGGAAGTCCTCTTAGAGAATGATACGGTATATTGGAGACTAGGGGTTATATTGGCGTTTATGCAAAACCGACAAAATCGCTAACGATGGATAGAATCAATAATATTTTATTCGTTAAAAAAAATATCCTATTTTTTTTCTACTCTGATATATATTCCCAACAGCAAACGTACACTCATTTCTTCTAACGAGCCATGGCCAGCGCACCTGAGGTGTTTTCTATCGTGACACATTACAGTAAGACACAAAAACACGACAAGTACACACTACTCACGTCTGTGTTTATCCGATATCGCTGTAATCAAGAGCCGGATTCCCGTGATTTACTCCTGCTAAACTGCTTCTGCTGCTGAAGCTGCTACTGGAGACACCGCGGCCATCCGGTCGATGTGGTCTACTTCCCTTCGTTTCGAGGTGGCTTGGGCTTTGTTCGCACCCCACTGCGTATTTACCTACTTTATACGCTAACAAAATGGACCGACTCAGATCTCGCGACCCCTCTATCCGTATTTTTATGTGGCAAGTCGTGTTTCGCTAGACAATTCTAATCACGTTGCTGTGAGCTGCTGTCTAAAGCATTGTGGAGACTTCAAGGCCGCGGGTCCACTCAGTCACTTCCGGGTATCTTTATTTTTTACTAGATGCTTTGAGGGGGCCGCTAACGTCGAGGGCATTGTGCGGGTACCAGCGGGAGGACAATGAAGCCTATTAGTGGGAGGTCATTCTACTTCAATCTCTCGAGTTTGCGGAGGCCGTGTTGTCCAGCGCTGCAAAGATAGATGTTCGCACAGATTCTTTGTTCGATCAATTTACACAAGTTTCTTGTCGTATAGTGAGGACAGCGTTCATCTAACGCGCTAATTATTCCGAAATTTTTCGATGGATAGAACATATGCTGAGGGTTTATCGAAAGATACGGAGACCAAAGCTGAGTGAAGGATCAAAGAAGAGTATAATTTGTTTCGCAATTTCCTAAATAGCATAACCACGATTTGTGTACGTAAACAAATGTTATAGGAAATAACAGAATTTTCTATAAACAGGCTACTTATGCCCAGTATACCGGAATAAGTACACATCGTAAAATACAAAAATACTTATGACATCGATCTAGCAATCAAGAGAATAGCGTTTGCTAACGACTAACCCGGTCAAATCGTATATTTCTATTGCTATTAAATGGCAAACAAACGTTCCATTGCATTTTGAGCCGTAGTAGTAGTAGTAGTTGTACTACTACGATTAAAGTGAGGGTCCTAAAGAGGATTTTAATGTGGACTAAGTTCTACGGAGGCTCAAGGGAAGCCCGCAGTAAAATCGAATATTGTGAATACAGCCCTCAAATGCCTTCTCTAAAGCAAAGGACGGGCACCAAATTGACCAGTGGAATAAGAGTGATGGGGCAATGGGGGATCCTGAGGGTCTAAATTGTGATAACTAAAGTTATCGAAGGAGATGCTTCGTAGGCATTTTGCCCTGATACGAGTACATATTCACATGAACCGCACAAAAGCAACCAGATCGTCTAGTGTAATCACAAAAGCCCTTCTGATTTTGTTTAAACTGCAAAATGCCGGCATATCTTTTTTTTACATGAAGTTTCGGCTGTAAAATGTGACATGCAGCTGAAATCTCAACCTGTATAACAAGAAGCAGTGGCAACGATAAGAGTTCCAATTAGTTATTGTGTTATCTAGCTGAGTCTTTTTTTTAGTCACAAATGAAAGCGATGAATGATGAGGTTACTGCATTGTAACGCTCGCGAAGCATTTATTTGTCAGATCCGATATTTGTGTACATGATGGTTTTGGAAGCGCCGGATATGACATCGCTAACGCGTCTGATAAGAACCATAATGATGCATACATGTGCAGTTCTGTTAAAGAGAAACCCGATAAGAATCCATGTATTAAACGGTAGTATAAAGCAATCGCTAGAGATGACCTTTACAACCTAATGGCTAGAACAAATTTATCAAATCATTCATTTTATAGTAATTTATCTATTAATTTGTTATATATCTTATGCGAATATGTCTTCAGGCATATTGCCAAATTGATTTATAGGCTAGCTGAGTCACATCGCTCCTGTCTGAAAGGAACTGTATGTCTCACTGAGTTCAGGACTGCAGGAGAAATCGCTAAAACCCGTAGTAGAAAAACTAACACGCATCTAAAATGAGAATGAATACGATAAGAAAAGGCTTTGGCCTTCGGAAACTACAGAAATTTCTGTCGTACTGAGTTACGTCTATAGGGCATTTCCATGACAGTAACTCTTCTTCTAACCGTCATTCTTGACAAATCGCATCTTATTATCGCTGAGTTAAAAGCTGTTCTATAGTCATCCATGATAGTCATTACCGTCTATTAAGCGATCAGCTAATTCAAACAACACAGTTCTTTAGCTGTTTATCACTCACACTCTGTTTGCTTTAACCGCTGTGCCTCTCGCTCCTTCAGATTTTTCTTTTCACCCTCGGCCACACCAAAGAAAACAATGATGCCATTGATAAGGGCAATGACGATGGTCGAATGACAGTGAGAAGCCGCCAGGGTGTCGCGACGTGGAAGCGTCTCTGTGGACCGCGGGTGTCGCACACCGCCGATACATTAAGTCTCTCTTGCTTGGAGTGACCGGCAAAGATTGATAAAAAGATACAGGGCTCGTTAGCAGGACAGTAGGTAGATATCCAAAAGTTTGATTTCAAAATTATAGCTGGTTACATGGCCCTGCTTGTTCCCGTAATCGTGTTACATATGACAGGTCTGCTGCGCGACGGTCGAGCATCTCAGCTAACGTAATCAGCTAATATTTCGATACTCTGTTCCCTAACAATTTACGTACGGCCACAGCTCAAGGGCACTTACATTTCGTCGGTGGTTAATGCCTTATTGTAATGGCTATACAGTTTGCCCTTTGTGCGACAACTGTAAAACGACGATTGGGTTAGGATCAATTGACGCACCGGAGACCGAATAATGATAAGCTAGCGAAAAACAGCAATCCAACCGCTGCAGGCATCTTATAGCAAATCTCTTTAACAGTTACGTAGAACTTTGATTCACGAAGCATTACCACCTTTTACATCACAGTCGCAAGAGGCGCAAGTCAAGCTAAAAAAAAAATCGATAACGTCTTTCTATCAATTCCGCTGACGTATGTAGGAAACCATCTGTCTCCTAAGCCGCATTAGTCGCTCTAGCGCTTTGTAAAGCAGATCATATGCGAGGGGCAATCTGTGGTAGTGCAACCCTAATCTCTACCCTCGACGTTGTATGGAGATGACGTGCTGCTAGCTCGGCTTGGTTCGAAGAGATAACATCTATGCTAAAGGAAAAGGTGCACTTTTGCGAACTAAGAATAAGAAAATCAAGAACAATGGCTACGTGATGATGTTTTTACATTTTAGCTTAGTTTCGACTCCGTAAAAAAAATGGGTGATCTAAAAATGCGTAGCTCATCGAACGGAACGCCATATCAACTGCTACCAATGAAGCATATTGCATTATATCGAACGTAAAGGTCGTCCTACCGCAAGCCTCTAGCTCTCCAGGACACTTTAAGGCTGTTGTTTGGCACAGTGGGTCTTTTGTTAGACATCTCTATTTTTGTTGTAAGTGCATCTGAAGTAAGTTGTTCGCCATCCCGATTCCACCTACCGTGACTGCAATGTATTCTACTCTGTGATAAGAGCAGCGAAGCGATAATATGTATGTCAATGAAAGAAAGGTTAGCACTCTAGGGGAAATATGAATTGTTTTTCTATGTTAATATCACTTACGGCGTCACCGTAATTAGCTTACAAGGGTTGATAAGATTTGAATTAGTCTTTTTTTAGGGAGGGGGTACAGCATGAAAGAACAAAAAAGTCGAACCATTACACGACTACCAAGCGGTCATCGATTGTCATATTTCTTAGATATCGATCAAACACAACATAAGGGTAAAGGAAACAAGGCTGGCGAAGCGTTCCGTAGAGGACAAGTGAATCAGGGATATCGTCGATTCTTTCGACGGTTTACATGCGTCCACACGCACGCATACATAGTTATTGATAGCCATCTGTCTATGCTCAGGCATTGTCATACTAACTTTGTCTAATACTGTCGCTTTGAGCGTCTTGTATATTATTGACAAGCGCAAAATTCGGCGCCGGCGGAAACCAATCTGACCTTGTGTGCAGAGCAAAGAAAAAAATATGCTACACAATATCTCCTTTTGTACGGTCACCGTACGTGTCGCGAGTGTTTGTAGGATTCAGAAGGCGAGAATAGGGACGAAAACATGGAGATGACACCTACCATGTCGTCCAGCACTGTTAAAATGAGCTTATTGTTTTCAAAAACTGCCACCGGTCACTTAGACATATCGCTGGAAGCATCAGATAGTCAGTCCCCGGTAGAAAACATCATAAGAGCTATGGTGCGCGCCCTTCACACTGACTCATACCAGCCAAATGGGCTCGAAAACACGGTCAACTTGTTACGCAGTGCAAAAATACCTCCCTGCAGACGAAAGTGACAACATAGCATTATGCTGTATGTCGAGGTCAAAGAAAGGTGTATAGAACAACACAAATCGAAGTCGGCCGAAATATTCCGAAGTTTCATATCGACGACACGAGCTAACGCACTACAAACGGATTAAGGGAACCGGAACGACACTGAAGCAGATATGAAACTATAAGAAGATGTTTGCGTAGGAGGGCATAAGTGAAGCTGAGAGCTCCAAAATGGAAGAAAGATAACCTATCAAGCAGAAAATGATGAACCTAGACGTGAGAAACGGATGATGGGGCGAAGGCGACTCGGCTCAAGCAAAAGAGTCAAAAAATTTCCCTGTAGAATCATGGATCAACTAACTGATCCGAACGAACGAAGCAACAGCTAGCAAAGCGAGGTGACGATCAGAGTTACGAAGGAAGACAAAAGAAGGATAGTTTCCACCAGTAAAACCGCCGATGCCATCTCGGGAGCAGCAACCAGCGGCATCACCAGTAATAGCCAGAAGAAAAGCATCACCGAAGTGACTATACCAAGACGTTTAAGATGGCCGAAGTACTACTAAATGCAGACAACAACGGAAAGGCCAGCTGAAACAGGCAGGCCAACAACACAAGGCTCGACGATAAGATTAGACTGTACTGGTTTGAACAAAAAAATTAGATAACCCCGCGTGGATCAGCGGCTCCATGAAACGATGTCATTATGCATGAAACGCTATCGTTTGTTGAAAAGAAGTCGCCAACGTCGGAATATTCTGCTTCATCGATTTGACGCCTCTTGTTAAGCATCATTGGGCAAGGTAACTGTTGCTTTTCTGTCAGTACATTTTGAAAATAAATCTGTAGGAGTTTTAAGCGATGTGCCCTTTTTCTTACAAAATGGTGTGTTTTTACCGTTATTTTTGCTAATCTAACATGGGTGAAGATCAGACGATAAATTGATATGCCAGTGTGCAATGCATAAATCTCGTGTATTCAGTTATAAAAATTGCGATCCTATAATCGGTTACAACTGACATGTTTGCATACACATATGATCGAACGATGCCAACCAGTTGCTAATTTATCCGGTAAAAACACCGCGTCATTAAGGTAATTACGTACCGTTTAAAAAATGTAAAGTCTATAGAGAATCTTTCGCCAACTTCGACGTATGGAATCGAGGATAAATTGTATAATTTTCAAAAAAAACGAACACAGGCCGAGGGATTTGTGTTTCTGACAAAAGAAGAGGATACAATCAATAATTTTTTGATAGAA